TCTCTCTCTCTCTCTCTCTCTCTCTCTCTCTCTCTCTCTCTCTCTCTCTCTCTCTCTCTCTCTCAGATCCTTGTGTGAGAAGCACTGGCGGGAGATATTGACGAACACCAGGTTGCAGTATGTCTCTATGTGATTGCAACGGATCTACTCACACTACTATATTTAGACTCAAACATAGCAAAACACGCACGCTTACTACCTTAGACACACTCCTGATTTCAGTGCATTGGTGCACACCACCACACACACATGTGCATCATAAATCGTGTTATATACTGCATGAAAACAGATCATAAATAATTGCTGAGGTAGTTAAAGTAATACTTGCACGCTAGTCCATAGTGTTTACAATATGCTACAAAACTAGAGATCAGTTCAAAGTTTAAAAGAAAGAGAAATAAGATGGTTTCTGGGTGATGGTTAACTAAACGAAACAGTTTGACTGGATGTAAAATGTTCTTAAGCTTTCCTCTAGAAAGCTTTATAATATATTCATTTACAATTCAAAACTTTTCAAACGTGATTTTAAAAATAGCTTAAGCTTAAAAAATAAATCATGAATTCGTTGCCAACTGATATGACTAGTTCAGCTGTTTTTATCCTCTATGACCAGATTAAGCTACTACTTCATTTATGTGGGAAAACAAGCAAATTACCAAGATGTTAGTTCACCAAAATTGATACATCTCAATAACAGAAAACAACAACAGGGTAAATAAGTAAATTTAGCTTTAGACGCAGATAGCTTAGCTTAATTTGTCTCTCTTGCTTTGACTGTCTTTAGCTGTTTTCCTTATGGCCTAAATACCAACAAGTCAGATTCTGGGCTTAACATCATTTTGAGGAGCATGAATATGTTGCTACTGCATTTAAGCATCGTAGGACACCGATAACTACAGCAAACACTGATAAAAAAAACTTGTATGAAAGTTGTATGATTTCATTTTGTCGATGTTGGAATGAATACATTTGCAAATACACTGCAGATTAATGTCCAGTTCAGTTTCAGTTAAAGACATATCAGATTAAAAGAGGGGATTTTGAACTAAGTGAAGGCAGTGTGAGCTTTATCCTTACCTGTTCGCACGCTACTACGCCACCCACACAAGGTCTTTCATTCATCTCACTGCACCATTACGCTCTGCTGTCTGAGTTAAAAATAGCCTCGCTCACGCTGGGCCTGATGAGAATTACCCAGCCATCACATGCATACAAAGGAGGATGTCCTCTCCACTCACATTACCTGACTGGTGTAAAGAGACCATACAAGCGGTGTTACCGTACATAAAACAAGGTTATTCATATTCATGTCCTCCAACTTACAATGAAACCCTGCTGCTTGTCAATTGCCTCCGTGTCTCTCATCCTCCCGACTTTGTACCCGATATGAATAACTCATCTGAAAGCAAGCTCATTAAAAAACCAAGCGCTGCTTTTGCTGTCATCACATCCGTGACCATATTAATCTCCCCGTGGCTTTCAAAACATCAACAAGCATCCAAACTATGTGTCAAACGCTGCTCAAGCTGGAGTGTGACCATGCTGCACTTCCACATTCAGGTAAGGTATAAATGTCCTAAATTGGCATCTCGTTGCACCTTCCTATAGCTTGAAGCCTCTCTTTTACGAGCTACATTTGGCCTTGAAAAGTGCGAGTGAAAATACCCGTTATGATTATTCCATCAGGTCACGGCTAACGACGGGGCGTGATCGAGAACATCGTCCCAGTGGGTCAGAAGGAGGTGATATGGAGCTCTGCCCAGAAACCGACAGCCATAACTGATGACAACATCCAGCCATCATCACCAGGCGATACGTAACCGAGCCACACTGACCCCCAAACACTGTGGACAGACGGACGACCCAAAGACGCGCAGACTTAACGCATGCACACAAAACACAGACGAGGTAAACGCACTCAAAATCTGCTTACACAGTCATCGGAGCTCTTGACGCGATCTCCCTTGGCTCGTTTCAGCAAGCGGATCCAGGTGGCCTTCATCAGCCACACTGGTCATTCAGTGTCCTGAGCCACTGCCCCCCCCCTGCTACTGCTACAACTACACCTGACTGCACTGCTGTGGTCGCTTTTGCACCAGCGCTGCAGCGGGCGTCACTGCTCCGGCTACAGGTACATTCAACACTGTGGCAACATGGACAGCCGGTTCCCGTTACGCCTTTAGTGTGAGTGCTACCATCATCTCTGGGTGAATAAATAGCTGTGGAGTTGGGGCTCCTTGTTTTGCTGCAGCTCCAGCTAGCTCTGCTGCTATCTGTAGAGCCACAGCTCCTGCTCCTGCTGCCGCTGCCGAAGACGGGGAATCCACAGGAGCTCTCTGCCCCGCGCATAATCTCAGCAGCTCTCTCTCCCCGTCTTCCCCGGTCTCCTTGAGTGCGCGGACTGCCGCTGCAGGTGCTGCGGCTGACTCCCAGTATGAGCCAGGTGGCAAGCGATGCTTATCAGCCTCTCGCTCAAGATTTGGCTCCAGCCTCGATCTCCTCCTCCTCCTCCTCTTCCTCCTCCTCCGCTGTAGCTAACAGCAGTTTATCCACACGAGTCCTGGCGCGGCTGCCTGCGACCGGCTCTCCTCCCGATGCTAATGAAGCTGCTGCCTCTCAGGTGCTGCAAGCTCCATCTATCTCACTCTCTGTGTCTCAGCCTGTCAGTGCATGTCCTGCACACTCCTTCAGGGATTCTGCCTCTCTACCTTCCGTCTTTTACCCACCCCTGCTTCTCATCCTTCTCTGTCACTCCCCTCGTTGTTGTTTTTTTTACCCCTCACAGTCAGTCCATCTGCTCGTTGTGTCTCTGCAGTGATGGGATGAGCACGTGCTGTATGGGTACTGTTTATGTGTCGACTGTGCATGCATGCTGTTTTGTTCTTTTTAGGTGTGAGCGCACTACATTCACCCAGATATGAGCCGTTTATAGGAACAAATAAGTGGCATAGCTTGTTTTCCTGCAGAAGATTTGCTCACTTTTTTTTTTTAATCATGGATCATATTAGAGCTGCAACTGATAATTATTCTCATTATTGATTCATGCACTGGTTCTCAGACATTTCCTTTCATGCCCTCCTTTGGAAGTGAAAAATAATTCACGCACACCCCCTTCCCCTGCGTTCAACATTTTTATCCGCCTGTAACAACATTGGGAGACTTATCTAGAACACAGACTGGATGTTTCCTTTTGTATTTGTGAATGGTGACTGCTGTGCAAATGCAGAACAACGCTGCTCAATTAGACACAACACACACAAACCTTCACAGCATAATATGCTTTCTCATATTTTGGATTTGACTGCAGGGTTTCCACCTGAATACATTTGTATCTGCATTTTTTTTTTCAGATTAATTGAATGTCTAGAGCTGAATAAATGAATAGTCTGAGTAAGTTTTTAAGCAAATAAACAACACATTAGCTGGCACCAGCTTCTTAAATGTTTTTTTTTAAAGATTACTTTGTCTTTTATACCTTTTGTAAATTGAACATCTTTGAGTTTTGAACTGTTGGTCGGACAAAATGAGTAATTTGAATCCACATTTTTCCCCATTTTACGTCAAACCAATTGAGAAAATAATCAGCAGCATCAATGATGAAAGTCAGAGCTGCAACGATTACATCCATCAGTCATTAGCTGATCGAGTCAATTGAAATGAATTAACATTGCAAGCACAAATGCGCCCTAATAGTGAGTATCGTATGTGTACTGTATCTTTGTGTGTGAGACAAAGACATCTTTTTTTTTTAAACCCTCACTTCTTCACTCTCATCATCAGGGACTCGGGGGTGGAAGCTGTTCTAAATCCTCGCCTGTCAGCTCAGCGGTGATTCATTACATGTGAGCGGAGCGTCACAAAGCCACACAGGACAGATGAGAATAATTACGCCGTTAATTAAAAACTTCCCATCCTCACAAGAGGAGCAGCCGAAGTTAAACTCTGCAGACGGATTATTCAAAACGTCCCTTTTGTTTGCACTGCTGCACTGCTGACGCACGATGCTCCTTGGTCTGACCCGTCATGAGGTTGTGTGAGGTCAGAGGAGTCAGGGATCGGCCCGTGGGACCAGCGGTTAAAATGGACTCGCTGGTTTATGGCAAGCAGTCGCTCCCCGAGGAGCACTAACTGTAGATCAAAGGATGACATGCTAATCAGTGGTGCTTATCATAACCAATCAATGACACGCCTCCATCTGCTCAGGGTCTTCCTAACTAGACATGTGCACTTAAAAATGACATGTCTTACATGAAAGGAAAGGCTGAGGGAAGATAATGTGATTTTAGCTCATTAAGACCAATTGGCCTAACAAGGAAGGCAATTACCTGAGGCAGATTATGTTTTGAACAGGAATAATGGGAATAGCGGAGAAGAACTAAATGTATCTTGTCCACTCTTAACATCAAAGCTCTCTAATCACCTCAACCGCAGTTTAGGACAGAAAACAGTGCACCAACCGATAGCGTTGCTAAGAAATGGTGCAATGGTCACATATGTTTCAGTAAGGTGG